TTGGTCATAATAGAGTTCAGATGGACCCTTCTAAAATTAAGGCCATAGCCGAATGGGGGGAACCTAAAACAGTTAAAGATGTCCMATGCTTTCTAGGGCTTGCATCATTTTATAGGAAATTTATTAAACATTTTAGCTCGATAGTAGCTCCATTAACCAACTGTCTTAAAAGGGACAATTTTACTGGGGACAACCACAACTTGATAGTTTCCATCTCATTAAAACTAAACTTTGTCAGAGCCCCGTCCTCGCTCTTCCAGACTTTGATTTCCCTTTTGAGGTCGCGGTAGATGCATCCGGTATAGGTATAGGAGCTGTCCTTTCTCAACATAATCACCCTCTAGAATATTTTAGTGAGAAACTTAGCCCATCCTATCAATAGTGGAGCACATATGAACAAGAACTCTATGCCCTTGTACGGTACGTGCATTAAAACAATGGGAACATTATCTGCTAAGCAAAGAATTTGTATTGTTTACGGATCATTTTTCCTTAAAATTTTTGCATACTTAAAAAACAATAAGTCGTATGCATGCCCGTTGGTTGTCTTTCCTCCAACGATTTGACTTTGTAATTAAACACAAAGCGGGAACAACCAATAAGGCGGCAGACGCTTTGAGTCGGAAGAACACCCTCTTAACAATCCTTAAGGGTGAAATTATTGCCTTTGACTATTTACCGGACTTGTATGAAATCGATAAAGACTTCCAAGACATTTGGTACAAATGTTCTAATCATATGGCCATCGACGACTACCATATTGTAGAAGGATATTTATTCAAAGGAAATACACTCGGTATCCCGCACACTTCCTTAAGGGAGGCTATTTTGCGGRATGCTCATGCGGGTGGCCTTGCRGGGCACTTAGGCCGTGATAAAACTTTGGACATCGTCACTTCTCGTTTCTATTGGCCCCACATCCGCAAGGATGTCTTTAACTATGTCACCAAATGCTTTACTTGCCAAWCATATAAAGGCTCCACGSAAAATACTGGCCTCTATACACCTTTGCCAGTCCCAGAAAGTATATGGGAGGATCTGTCCATGGACTTCGTTCTTGGACTACCCCGAACACAACGGGGATTCGACTCTGTCATGGTGGTAGTAGACCGCTTCAGCAAAATGGCACATTTTGCGGCATGTAAAAAGACCTCCGATGCAATCGCCATAGCTACATTATTTTTTAGAGACATTGTCYGACTTCATGGCATTCCTAAATCCATTGTCTCGGATCGTGATGTCAAATTCTTAAGCCACTTTAGGCGCACACTGTGGAAGAAATTTGACACGTCTCTCAAGTTTAGCACCACCAGCCATCCGCAGACTGATGGCCAAACAAAGGTCACCAACCGATCTTTGGGAAACCTCATTCGATGCATCAGCGGGGATCATCCTAAACAATGGGACATGTCGCTTGCTCAAGCTGAGTTTGCCTATAACCACATGAAGAACAGAACCACAGGGAAGTCCCCATTTGAGGTAGTCTACACTAAACTCCCTAGATTAACTTTAGATTTGGCTAAACTTCCTTCCTCTGTTGATCTCAGCCTAGAAGCCGAAGAAATGGCCAGCCGCGTGACCGAGTTACATCAGGAGGTCCGACGACACATTGAGCAATCCAATTCCAAGTATAAAGCTGCTGCTGACAAGAAAAGAAGACCGAAAGAGTTCCAAGTAGGTGACCTAGTCATGATTCATCTAAGGAAAAGCCGATTTCCAACGGGGACCTACTCTAAACTCAAAAAGAAGAAATTGGGACCCTTTCAAGTAATCGAGCGCTTTGGATCGAATGCATACAAGGTTCAGCTTCCATCAACTTACAATTTCAGCCCCATATTTAACGTGGCTGATCTTTACACTTATAGCCCACCAGATTCCTTTCAAATAAACCCTTAACTCGAGGACGAGTTCTTTTTAAGGGTGGGGGAAATTGATGTAGTTAGTAGGTTATGTCGGTTAGTTAGTTAAACTGTTAGTTCTTGGTTGCTGTTATTTTAGTTATTGAGTAGTTGTTATTTTAGTTATTGAGTAGTTGTTATCCCAGCAGCCTCTATAAATAGCTGCTGGATTTCAGTGTTTAAAGAATACAATTCTCTTCAAGATTTCTACCTAGATTGTGTACACCACATTTTCACTCCTTCAAGACTTTGTATTTCTGAACAATTTTCTGTTCCTTTTCACGATATCAATGAAGAGTTCATTTCTTGTCAAAAAAGGAAAAAATTTGTACAACTTGCCAGCTTCAGCATGGCACTTTGGCGCTTTATAATGGATAGAGCTCTTAGGAGAAGAAATCCATTCATTGTTGGAGAGGAGGTATTTGGCAGTAATAATTTTCCTCCACAGGATGTTGGTCTTTCACTCCATCTAACCAGATTGCTACCTCCCTGGGCATTTGAAAATAGATAGATACTATATAGGAATGCTAGATAAGAATGCATTTGCAAGTGTGAATCAGCCACCTTTTGAGMAAACCTGGTGCGGTGCTTCCATTTGGCTAGCTTATTTTCTTCCAAGGTAACTAAAGGGCCATCTCCTAGCAGAACACCTCTACATTAAAGCCATGTATCCACCTCAYTGTCTTTCATATTGATACCCACTATAGAAATCTTGCTCAGACGGACTTTTAGCACTTCAAACAGGTTAATAACTTAATGTAGATTTCTGATTTTAGCATGGTCGTGGCTGGTGAAAAGGAGTGTCATTTGCAAATTGCAGATGACTAAAATGGATGGAATCTCTCCCCACTTGGCCTTGAAGGACCCTTTCTGATGGCCTTATCCCAACAGTGAGCTAAACAATTCTGCATAGAGCATAAAAAGGAAGGGGGATATGGTCTTGCTTTGTACTTTTCACGGCTCTTAATGAAAAGTGCTGCTTTTTTATATATATTTTTTTGAATAAGAAACAAATTTATCATTGATTAATGAAAAATGTTYAAAGAGACAAACTTGCGAAAGAGTGAAAGAAAAAGCAAGAAAACATAGAACCRGACCTCCAAAAGCAAAAAGAAAAATACAACAGAAAGCCAGAGAGGGGGGTGGTGGTGGTGGTGAAGAACTCCCAATTCAAACAAATGTCCTGCAGAGAGTAGTCTGAAAACTATTTGGACCGACCAATGATTCTCAAAATCTCTGAGGATTCTTTGGTGGAAACCGAAAGGGAATTTTTATTAGAATGTCAAAGATCTGTCTTCTATTGGACAGGAAAGCTCCTTTTATAATAAGGGAGCTGGAAACTAGCCGTTACTAACTAACATCTAACAAGAAACTAGCTGTTAGGCTTATAACCAACTAACAACTAACAACTTTAGCCTTTAACCAAAAAATACACTTTACAAGACTACATCAGAATATTGATTATAGAGGATCTGCTCATAATTGATGGGAAGAAACCGAGTTCTCATAAGTTTTTTCATTTTTTCCCACGTACCGATGGGGAGTTTGCCAAAACGTTGGCGATTTGTCTCGAGTTGCTCCCACCAGGCTGAGGCTCCCCCTTTTAATTTGTGGGCAACCAATTTGACTTTCTTATGGTCAGGGGTGTTCATATACTCAAAAAAAATTTCGACGTTCTTGATCCATTCAAGAAACCCTTCAATATCAAGTTTCCCATCAAAGATGGGTAGGTCAACCTTCATTTTATAATCTGAAGGTTCTCTTCGATTGGGATGATCATACCGATTGCCATATGGGTGAATCTCCCAAGGAGGAATGCCATCTTCATCGCTTGAAGAATTGACCAACAYAGCTCTGTTTCGATGAGGACCATGCTGTCTATAGGCCGGATTATAAAATCGGCGGGTTTCTTGATTTTTCCGGTTGGAGGGAAACATGTCTGGAGGAATACCAWGACAATCAGTTGGTAAATCATGGTCAGGGTTGTGGCAACAGACCTGTTGCAGAGGGGAATAAGGAAGTGGTAGTTGCCTGAGGGAGGGATCTTGAAATGGGATGGGTTCTTGACGTAATCTTGAAGTTGTTTGCTTAGCGTCATCATCAATCTTGATCCCCTTGTCACGCRCCTCCTTCCCTTTGTTGTTTCTTTGTTGTTCTTGATGCAGATAAATGTTATCCAATTTGTCAACGATTGAAAACAGTATCTGACGGATCYCAACCACATTCCTTTGGAGTGTTTCAACAGCTCCTTCAACCACCATTAATCGGTTAGTTGAGGTTCGTGGAGAGAGGCGGGATATTTCTTCCGTCTCTTTGTTGGCCAGGTGAGAATCTCCAATAGCTGGATTAGGTTTCTTTCCTGCCATTGAAAAGCCCAAGAATTTCGGTGCTCTGATACCAATTTGGTGGAAACCGAAAGGGAATTTTTATTAGAATGTCAAAGATCTGTCTTCTATTGGACAGGAAAGCTCCTTTTATAATAAGGGAGCTGGAAACTAGCCGTTACTAACTAACATCTAACAAGAAACTAGCCGTTAGGCTTATAACCAACTAACAACTAACAACTTTAGCCTTTAACCAAAAAATACACTTTACAAGACTACATCATTCTTTGATTGCGTTCCATCTAAAGTTCGGAGATGATGGCTTTTACTACATTAACTCATAGTAAGCTTGATCTAGGAGCCAAAGAGGGATCAGAAAGTAATTGGAAAACATTACTCTGAAAGTCATGATAAAAAACCCATGAAAATTGAAGATTCTTAAAAAATAACTCCAGCAAGACAATGAATATGGAGTATGGACAACCAGAAAATAAATGGTTATGATATGAAGCCGCAAAACACAAGTATCAAATTGATGGCTGAAGAAAAGTGCTGGGCAGCCTCTTTTGTAAAATTATCCGTTGTATTGAGCTTACTATTGAGTAAAACCTAAAGAATAAATGGTTATAATGTGCTGTTTTCTTATATAAAAAAACAAAAATCACTGCAAGACGTAAGATCTTAAATCATCTTTTTTTATTTATATTAGAAACTGGCTTTTACCCTTTTCATTGATTTTTCCTTCTTTCTGAATGAAATGTCTTAGATCTCTTTAAGAATGCATGTTTTCTCTCATTCTCCCGATTTTTGTCACTCTAATGTATATGAAGTTGGATACTCTTCTGAGAGGCTCAAGTGTTTCCATTTGATCRAATGGTTTCTTTTTTTGGTATTTAAGTTGTTTACCATCCTCYGGGTCAATATTTTATTCTTATTTTAAAATAATGTATTYTCTGTGTTCAGGTGCAAAATAATTTATGCACTCCCAAAAATGGGGAGATTTTAGTTGCTTCAACTCAAGATTTTTTGACATCATCTTTTCTCATAACAAGAAAAGACACATTTTATGACCGTGCAGCATTTTCTCTTATGTGTTCTTATATGGGAGATGGCATGGATTTGGTTGACTTGCCTACACCTACAATTGTTAAAGTGAGTTGACGATTCATTGTTTCCTTCTGAATAGCAATAACTAGAGGTGTTCTGTGTTCATAATACTACTTTGCTTTGGTTCGTGTTATCCATATATACTGTGCATATTTCAATTTAAAAGTCATTATTCTTGTATTCTATTGCTGAAATCGTCACAGTAGAAATTTCATAGGCCATTTTGCATATTACTTGTGCTGCAACAGAGCAATGGTCCATACCCCAAAACTTGAATGAATTGAAGTGACCTTTAGGATTGATGAAATATTACACAAATTCATTGCTTTTACTGTTGCATAACAGTTGAAGAAAGACGACATCCATTAAAAGTTGCGATGACCTTCCTTAACATTAGTTTGGGAACATTAATTTCTTATCCAAAAAAAATAAAAACATTAGTTCGGGAACTACCATACTTCTTACAACATATTATCATGGAGGACACTTCTAGGATTGGGATAGGAGTTGTGGTGACAGGGGGATTGCGGCTTTAATGACACTTATGGGATTGGGACAGGAGTAGGAGCTGGTGTTGTAGGGATTATATTTTTGCTTACATTAGTAGACTTTATCTCTTTACAACCAGCTCAAAGTCGTTCATGAAAGGGAAATTATAACAATTTTCATGGAAGTTCACAAAATGAAGACCATATTTGTTGGGTCGGCCGCTGGGGAAACACAGCCTGGCCCCCTCTCGGGAAACGGGGTCTAGGCTTCGCTGGACGACACGACATTCTCGTTCAAATATAGGCTGAAAATATGTGGCTACGATGGATCATAAAATCCTCAAAGTTTTGTTGGATTAGAGGGAAATCACGACTAATTATTAGAAATGGCTAGCCTGGTTGCCAAGGGTTTGGGGTGTCTTGGTCATATAGGTTTAGATGTCTCTGGGTTCAAACATTTCGATGATCTTAATGGAATGTCTCTGATGTCTTTGTGTTGCTTAATGGAAAGCCTAGAGATAAGATAAAGGCCAAGAGGGGCTTAAGGCAAGGTGATTCCCTCTCCCCTTTTCTCTTCACGATTGTGGGTGATGCATTGAGTAGATTAATTCACTTTTGTAATGAGAAGAATATTCTCAAAGGTTTCAATATTGGAACTAGCTCCTTAGAGGTGACTCATCTCCAATATGCCGACGATGTGCTTATTTTCTGCCCCTTTTCAGCTCAATTAATGGAGAATTGGTGGGGTCTCATTCATGTGTTTTTATTGGCATCAGGTCTTTCTCTGAATGTCTCAAAAACTGCTGTAATTGGTGTTAATTACACAAGGTCAGAGGTTATTTGGCTGCAAGATGGATTCTTTCCCTTTTAATTATCTGGGTTTCCCCCTCGGAGGGAACCACAAGACCACTAGTTTTTGGGCTTCGGTGGTGGACAAAATGCACARAAGACTCCAAAAATKGAGATCTTTGCTTCTTTCCAAGGGTGGTAGGCTTACTCTTGCTCAGTCGGTCTTCAATAGCATCCCCATATACTTCTTTTCGATTCTCAAAGCTCCAAAGACAATCATAAAGTCTATGGAGAAGCTTACGTGGGACTTCATATGGAATGGTGTGATTCCTAGATCGRTGGGGAATTTGGTGAAGTGGTCTTGGTTGGCTTTGCCTCATAGGCAGAGTGGCCTTGGAGTTCGTTCTTTGAGGCTAAGGAACAATGCTCTATTAATGAAATGGTTATGGCGGTTCACAGTGGAAAGAAATAGCCTTTGGAGACGGGTGATAGCCACTATTTATGGTGTGGAGTCTTTTGGATGGTGGGCAAAACCATTAGGTGGTTCTTCTATTGGAAGACCGTGGAGGGACATACAAGAGAACCTTAGAGCTTTTCAAAAGTTYTCCTTCTTCAAAGTATCCTCARGTGTCCAWGTCAGATTTTGGGAAGACATATGGATTGATTATGCCCCTCTTTCCACCACTTTCTCGGATTTGTTTGCATTATCCTCCAAGAAAGGTATGTCCATTGCAGATTGTTGGTGTGCAGAGGCCTCAACTTGGAATCTTGGTTTCAGAAGGAATCTCTTTGAAAGGGAAATGAGTAGATGGACAAACTTCACGGAAAAAATAGAAGGTGTAGCTATCGGAAATGGAAAGGACATTTTATGGTGGAAAGTAGACCCATTCGGCCATTTCACAGTCAATTTAGCCTTCATGGCTCTCACGTCCCCTTCTCCTAAACTTAATTCAGCTACAGCAAACTTGATATGGAATTTTAGAGTCCCAAAGAAGGTAAAATTCTTCATTTGGACTTTCTTCTATAGAGGGGTAAATACCGCAGAGAAACTTCAAAGGAAATTACCTAACTGGACTCTTTCTCCCTCTGTGTGCACAAGCAACAATGAAACGGTGGACCACCTTTTTCTCCATTGCCCTTTTGTTTCCAAAGCTTRGGGTTTATAGCTTCTTTGCTAGATTTCTCTCTCCACRTTCCTAGAAGAATTGAGGATTTCATTGCTAAAGGTTATGGAGGAAGGCAGCTCAAGGGCAAAGCTTGGGTTCTTTGGATTTGTGTGGCCTGGGCTCTTTTATGGTCGATATGGAAGGAACGGAACAGTCGGCTTTTTGAAGATAAGTTGATTTTGTTAGATTCTTTTTTTGTGAATATTAAGCATCTAGCTTCTTGGTGGTCTTTACTACACAAGAAAGTTTTTTGTAACTACGATCTTCTTTTGCTTACACAAGATTGGAAAATGGTGATTGTATAGAGCTTTGG